AGAGAGTAGAGAGTATTGAAAGTGAAGAAAAGTGTAGAGAATGTCGAAAGTATTAAAAGAGAGTGTAGAGAGTATCAAAAGTAAAGAAAGTGTAGTGAGTATTGAAAGTAAAAAAAAGTATAAAGAGTGTTGAAAGTATCAAAAGTGAAGAAAAGTATAGAAAGTGTCGAAAGTGAAAAAAAGTGTAGAGAGTATTGAAAGTGTCGAAAGTATTAAAAGTGAAGAAAAGTGTAGAGAGTGTCGAAAGTGTATGTAGAATGTGTAGAGAGTGTTGAAAGTGAAGAAAGTGTCAAAAGTAAAGTGAAGAAAAAAAAAGTTACGTTAGTTTATGTATTCTTTTATAATTCTGCACTGATCTTATTATAATGTATCTGAACTTGCTTAATAATAAGTATGTGAAAATAACCTGTGAAAATAACAGCATATTTACTATACAATTATCAAGTTTTGATAACAATAAAACTTGTAATCTTTCTATTTTTGACAATGACTTCAAGGATTCCACAGACTTTTTTTTTAGTTAATCTATTTTTGTTTATACAAAAGAAATATTAGGATGAAAAGAATTTAAAAATTATTATCCTTTAACTAATCCTTTTAACTAAATAATTAGTGTATTTTATTTGACTCTTGAATAACTCTATCTATCATACTATCATGCGAAAAATTTAGGAAATGTCTAATTCAGTTACCTTATTTGGATTAGTTAGTAAAGCTTCCAATCTTTTATAGTTATGCCACTTCATCTATTGCAAATAAAGCTCAAAATACAAGAATTTTTTTTTCTTTGATAATAATTATTCGAGTTCAATACTTTAGTGTGGCAGTCAATACTATTTTAATTGTCTAGAATATAGTAAAGGACTTTACATGACTTTTTATATATGTATCATGAGAGTGATTAGTTACAGGTTTTCACTCTTATGCACTAATATGTATGGGGGAAGAAATTATGAACTACTTTTTTTAAATCCCGAATAGATACTACATACAGTATATATAAAATATGTAATCGATATTTAAAAAAGTGATGCATAATTTTTTCCCATATAGATGGTAAAGGTTTCGAGCAAGAATAATATCATTATATTTAAGATATAGATCAAAAAATAGATAATATCGTTACTCTAAAAATATAGTAAATAGTAGTAATTAAAATTAGTGTGCAAACACGAGAATTTAAAATTTACACATATTAATACTCAGCGGACTTCAATAATACAGTTACATTTAAGACAGGTTATTATTAAAAAGTTTAAAAATATATATTTAATTAAACTACAGTATATAGGTAATTATTTTCGAAGGTGATTCTAAAATTTGCATTACAGATGTATTCAAAAATGGGAATCAAGAAAATTATATTTAGTATTTTGGTCGCCATTAAGAATAATTTCCTATTTGATTGTTTGCCCTTTATACTGGATTTGTTCTACTCATAAAGTGATAGTAGGTTCATCTAAGACAAACCATAATAGGTTATTATTAATCTGCATATATATAGAAATATATAGTTTGTATGAGATAATTGATATTAAACTTAGAATTTTGTTATCCAGATGTTAAATTAATTCTTAATAAAGTGCTTATATCTAATACTAGTTACAATTTAAAAAAATAAATAAATAAAATAAAATAATAAATATATATAAAAAATATATATATATTTACAGTAATGATCTATAAGCAATGAACTTGATTATTAAAGAATAATCTAAGTTATTAAGAGAGTAAAATATTATCTTCTAAGTTGCATCTAAAAAAGTTAAACTTCTAAAATGGGTAAGTTGTCATGTGAAAATCTTTAAAATGTATAATATTGTAAATATACAATAAAAATAAGCCATATTAGCCCGATAACAAATTAAAAAAAAAATATAATATAATATATATATATATTATATAAATAAACTGTTAAATTTATTTAGACCTATAGGTCAATAGCATAGTGGTAATGCTTCCAGGTCACCAAGTACTGTTTTCAAGTTCAATACCATTACAAGACAGTATCACCTAAATCTAATTGATACAAGAAGATCTCATCTGCTCTATAATGATAATTTAAACACTTCTGATCAAGATCCCATCTGATTACGAGGTATCCAAAGATTACAAAATACTTTAGCCGATTTTAGTGCTAAAGTCATCTTGTCACAAAACTGGTTTTTTTAAGCTCCTACAGATAGGTTGAAGATCTGCATATCATAAAATCAAAGAGACTAGCGAAGCCTAGGTATATTAATTAGAAGAGGGTTTCTATCAAATTGATATCTATCCAAGACTCCACATAATCACTTCATAGATAGGTTGTAATAGATCATATAAAAAGAATGTTCCAGTGAAACAAGATGACATCTAAGATTCCACGTGGGTATTCCATAGATATACTGTAATAAGTATTGTAAAAAAAATATTTGATAGGACAAGATATGAAAGAGGTCCTATGTTATAGATCCAGGCCTGTAGATATGAGAGTCAGGGAAGGGTAACACAGATGCAAGTAGTAGAATAGTAGGGCTTCTTTTGATAATAAGTCATAGAGATACATAAGGTGTTACAATCAGGTTTATAGATATAATAGTGGAACAGATATAATTTACTATAATTAGCATAAGATTGATTATAGAATTGTCCTGTAATTAGTAGTTATACTTATATGTAAGATCATTCTATTGACTTCAATAAACTGGCTTTATTATTCTTTAAAAAAAAAAAAAAAAGTTAAATTTATTTAATTCAAAAAATTTTTTTAAAAAATTTGAATATAAAGTTAATTGTTTTTTTTTTTTGTAAAATATTATTCTTTAAAATTATGTTAAATTAATATATATTGTATATACTGTATATATACTATATATATACACTTCTAACATAAATTACTGAAAATTATTATGCAATAAATATAATGAAAAAAGATGCTGATTTTTAAAATTCAAATAAATAATTTTTTTTTTATTTAATGACAATAGATTTTTTTATGATATTAAAAAAAATGTATTCTATTTTTAACAAAAAAAATCTTAAAGATAAAAAACTAATATTTAATATGTTCACCTTTAACCTTAATAATATTTTTAATACACTTTGGAATACTTAAAATTAAGTGACGTAAAGTTTCTATAGAAATATTTTTCCACTCTTCTTGTACAATTTTAATTAAATCTTGCTTTGATTTAGGTAAAGATTTTTTTTTTTTAATCTGATAATCGAGATAATCCCACAAGTGTTCAATTGGGTTCAAGTCTGGACTTTATGAAATCCAGTTTAAAACAGAAATACTATGTGTTGCCATCCACCAATTTGTATAAGAAGATATATAACATGGTGCCAAGTCTTATTGAAATATCATATTTGGACTATTATAGATATATGGTATTAAATGATTTGTGAGAATATTAACGTATATATTAGAATTCATATTTTCATCTACTACTACTAATAGTCCAACTCCATACTAACTAAAACAACTTCAAAATATAACAGATTTTTTACCAAATTTAATGGTAGACTTAATACAATCTTTATTATAAGCCTCTTTTATCCATCTCCACACCTTTACTTATCTATCAGATTTGAATAAAGTAAATCTTGATTCGTCAGATCAAATAATTTCTTTCTATTCTTCATTTCAATTACATTTGATTCGATACCATTTTAACTGAGAAATACATTGCTTATAGCTTAAAAAAGGTTTTTTACATGTAACACAACCTCTAAAACCAAGTTTATGAAGATATATATGAATAGTTTTAGGATAAAGTGTTGTAATAAGGCTTTGATTAAATTTTCTTGTAATTTTTTCAAGGGGTGAAAATCTGTTCTTTAAAACAATTCATTGTAAAAAATGTTGTTCACGTTTAGAAAGAGTTTCAAGCTGACCAGATCTTTTTTTAAGATATAGAGAATCATTTTTTTTATAACGATTAATAGTATTATATATGGTTACATGAGGAATATTCAGCACAACTGATATTTTTAAACCGTTTGAACCCATGAGATAAGCACCGATTATTTGATCTCTTTTTTCAATTGTTAATTTATTGCCTCGCATTTTTTTTGACTAAAAAAAATCTAAAAGAAAAATCAATTTTTTATAAGCAAAATCATTAATTATACTTGTGTCAGAAAAAAGAAATAAATGACATTTACTTTTTCGATTAGTAATATTTTATTGTTGATTTCTGATAATTTATGTTAGGGGTGTGTATATATTTCAAGCTATCCAAAGAATCAAAGTGTTAAAATAAATATAATATTATCCTTATTATAATTTTTTATTACTAAAAATTTTTTAAATATTTTTAAATATAAATTAAATCTGTAATTTAATTATAATTTTTTCCAATTTGGTAAAAGTATTATTCAAAAACATCATAAATTATAAATTTGGTAAAAGGTGGTAAAGGTAATTAAAACTTTTTATTTTATGCAGATTGGATAATATTTTTTTAAATAAATTATTTTATATAGTACAACTAACAATGTCTCTAATAATAACACGTGTTTCCCTCGTGTATCTGTCACGTGAACAACACCCAATGATGGCATATACCAAGGATTTTTTATAATGTGCTTGATTCTGTAAATACTGTTATGTATGCGAAAAAAAAAATATTACATTATGAACGCGCCAGCATTCTTTTATAAAGAGTCAGGATCGATGGGAAAAAGCCAATTGACGAAAGTCGTTTGATCAATCAATTGATAAAAGGGATTAGGGTAGGCGTTTTCCTCCTGTACTCCTCATATTCCTCGCCAAAGAAGCTTAACAGCAAGGGTTCCTCTTCACTGATACGATTGCTGAAGAATTTGTAAAGGACGATTGGAAATATGACCAAGCAAATTGGATTGAAGAGCAGAATTTGCATTCCGATCACCCACCAAAAGAAACCAAAGTATGATGGGTGTCTCATATATCTACACGAATTCAAAAAAATATATATTTATATGATGCCATGTCATTGGTAATGAATGATGAATTATAAAAAAGGCAAAGGCACTCACGCATAAATGCCAGTTTTCACAAGCACATGTTCTTCACGTTTATAGACTGCAATCTGGTGGGTAAAATTGTGCTTCGCGTGCCACATAGCCAAACTCCTGGCAACCTGACCTATCACCAATATCACGATACCTAAGAATGGTTATACGATTGAGAAATCACAAAGATTTGTATTCGTCGAATCCGATTTGCACAACCATCAAGATTAATCGTAACCCTCTTACCTAAGTAGTATATGAATCTAGAATTTTTCAGGGAGGGGAAAAAGTATAATTCTATTAGGAATTCACACATGCTAGCGGCGTGAGCGGTCTTGTACGGTTGGCCATTGTCTAACAAGAATGCTGCAAGCGAAGCATACTAAAATTAGATTCGATAAGAATTCGACATTTCCTGAAAAGAAAAAAAAATAAGAAAAGAAAGAGAGCTTACAGTCCAGCGATAACTTATCTACGTTAAAAAAGGAAGTAAATAGATATTCCAATTCGTGAAAAGTTGCCACCGCAGCCAAGAAAACTCCCAGTTGAGCTATTGAATTCGAATAATATGCTATGGCGACAGAGATTCCGAACAGAATGCCAATTACGAAACTATAGAACGAAATGTTTTGTGGTGTGTGTTGCCCATCCAAAAATGGGATCTTGTTCTCTTTATTATCATTTATTTGAGAATATATGGTTGACATTCTTTTTAATAGAATATTTTGAAAAAGTTTATTGGAGACCTGCAAAGGTCTAGCTTTCTAATTTATGTGTGATCCAACTATGCGAATAAACAATGCTTTTACATAATTATCGAGTACATAACAAACAATACCAAACTGAACACCCCGTGCATATTATACCAAAAACATACTACAACTGTATTTTCCGAAAATATGCAACCCCGGACAACGAATAAGATTAACGCTAACACGATAGCAACGTGTTACACCAAATGTGTTCATAATTATGAAACTATAGTAAGCAATTCCTTCGTATCACAGTCCATTCGAGTTGAACTTCACCGAGAAATTGATAAAATATGGTCCATTGTGAAAATGAACGTACTGATATTTTTTGCCAAGTGGTCCGAGAGACAAACATTTTTTACCACCGGTTAAACATTTTTCAGTCCAGACTTTTTACGAAAACTGTCGTAAAAATCAATCATCTCCGGTGTGATCCGACTCGCAAAAGACGACAATGTTTTAATGAAATGATCCCGCCTTACCTAAATAAAAGTTTATCAACTTACTTATTGGTCAAATCTTCACGAATATCAAATTTTTACCTCTTTTGCATCAAGATCTTCTTCCATTGCACATAAGGCAGCTTCTTGACATACCGCTATTATTTCAGCGCCAGAATATCCCCCGGTCTAAAAGGAAATGAATCTCATTAAAAAGATTAGAATAAAGTAACCGAGATTGAAGCAGATCGGATTCATACCAGGGAAGCTAACTCTTCGACGTCAACATCCTGTCCGCATGACATTTTCTTCAATTGAATTTTAAATATTTCCCTCCTGGACATCAGATCCGGCGGGCCCACGTATAATATTCTGTCAATGCGACCAGGCCTCATCAAGGCATCGTCCTACGGGTAAGGGCAAATGTTAACACGAAACTAGGTAGGGGAAAAAAAGGAGATCCTTATACTCGCCATTATATCCGGACGATTGGTTGCTGCCACGACAGTTACGTTCACCAATGGTTCGATTCCATCCAACTCGTTCAACAGTTGTGATAAAACGCGTTCCACCACCGATGTTCCACCTTCGCCACCAACTCCGCGTTTAACGGTAAGGGCATCTATTTCATCCTAATAGAATAAATTTCATCCCTTCCGTAAGACTTTGTCTTTACGATCAGATCCACCTGTCAATTGGATACTCACGAAAAATACAATTGATGGAGAAGCAGCGCGTGCTTTGCGGAATACTTCGCGAACCGCTTTCTCCGATTCGCCGACCCATTTACTGAAAAGCTGATCAAGTCAATGCAGAATATTTCCACATCATAAAATTATTTCATCTCTTTACCTCCGGACCTTTAACGGCGATGAAATTTAATCCGGCTTCGGTGGAAAGAGCTTTGGCCATCAAAGTTTTGCTGCAACCCGGGGGTCCGTATAGTAGGATTCCTTTGGGCGGCCGTATCCCGAGCCTGGAAAATTTTTCGGGATGCTTCAAGGGCCATTCAATTGATTCCTTCAATTTTTGCTTTATTTCTTGTTGACCGCCTATGTCTGACCAATAAACTTTAGGAACTTCAAGAAGGATCTTGATTATTTTTTTTTAGCCCGAAGGTTATTTATTGTTCACTGTGTGTCAACTTCGAAAGTCAAAAGATCCTTGAAAACTCACCTCCCTCATGGCGCTAGGCCTAATTTCTCCCATCGCATCGTTCATATCATTTATGGTAATTTTGATATCTAATCGCGCGAAGAATTGTGAACGCCAAAGAAAGTGACCAATCCGATCAATAAAAATGGAACGCAACCCATACCTTGATTGCGTTTTTCCTTAACACCCCTCTTGATTGCCTTTAATCCTGCCTCTCGACAAACTGCCGCCAAATCGGCACCGACATAACCATGCGACTTAGCCGCTAATTCATGAATTTCCTCGGATGAAAGAGCATGCGGCACACTTCTCAGTAACGTTAATAATATCGAAAACCTTGAGGTGGAATTGGGAATCCCTGAGATGAAAAGCGAACTCTCAGCGCCTCTCGTATGAAGCACAAAATCACTGGTGACGTCAACTTGCCAATTTCTATTTCCCGATCGAATCTTCCAGGTCTTCTCAAAGCTTCGTCTAATGCATTCGGTCGATTGGTTGCCCCAATGACCACAACGCGATCTTGTGATCCGCTGTTTTTATTAGTGATTCCATCCATCAACGTGAGAAGGGTTGCGACGACGCGTTTTCCCAGTTCATTACCGACCTTCACAAAAGGGAAATTAATAATGCGCGTTTCCCTTATTTGAAGATGACCAAGTTTTCTCACCTCGTCACGTTTTGGACATAGCGCGTCTACCTCGTCAATAAAGATAATCGACGGAGAATTCTCCAAAGCTTGCTGGAATAAGTCCCTTAGCTGAATATGCGTGAACAGTGAGTGAATTTTTATTTTAACTAAATGTAGATCGTTGGGAGAATTCATACCTTCGCTTCCGTT